ACAATGACAAATTCGAAAACAAAATAACAAGTCAGAAAACACAACGACAAATCAGACAAATCGGAAGAGGTAGGTATAGTTTGAGACAGCGCCATTGGTTTGGGATTACTCACCGCTGACTGGATGAGACATCTGTCAATCAACTTATACAGAGAAGAACCAGCCGAAGAACAGCAGAGTCCTGGTAGAAAGTTCGGAGATGGTATTAAAGTAACTCAGTTTAAACGTATTGTATGAATTGCCCTTACTATGGAATAAAAAATACGGGTTGTCTATTTACATTTAGTTAAAAGTGGCTTTTTGACGCGATGGACTCGGGTTCGATCCCGCCTTTTGCCGAACTTTTATTTATTTATTTTTTAATTTTTTAAAGAATTTATTTGTTGACAATGTACAAGAAAATTTTCAGGCCGATGGTCTTCCCTGAAGGTCTTACTTCTTGCCAGAAGCACCAACAGAAGTTTTCCTGGTGCCTCTAACTTTCTTCATTCTGTTCTTGCGTTCCTTGCGCTGTTTTCTAGATGTCTTTTTCTTCTCATAAAGGCCATGCCTTTGTAGCCTGTATTTGGGCTCATTCTTCTTGGCATAGTCCAACGAGTCGTAGATCATGCCAAACCCTGTTGTGTTGCCACCGCCAAACTGAGCCGAAGCCGAAGACGAACACCACACCTGTGGTGGTTTTGTACATTTTTGCAAGCTTCTCCCTGATCTCTGTCTTGGGGACTGTTGCTTTGCCTGGATGCAGGATATCGACAACCATTTGCCATTTGAAGCAGCCGGTTTGTCATGAACTTTCTGGTCCTGACTGTGACGGTCTCGTTCATCTTGGCGTCTGCTCGCTGAGAGACGAGGAAAAAGGTTGCCGAACTTTTTTTCCCTCCCTTTTCAAATCTCGTATTAGCAATGGATTCTATTTACACTAAGTGAAAATAGCAGTATTTTTAGCAATATGCTATTTACACTAAGTGCAAATACCTATTTACACTATGTTAAAATAGCAGGATTTCTACTATGAAGTATACTACTTGTTGCAAATAGTGGCAATTGTCTGCACTTCAGTATTGTAGTACATTATAAAACAGTATGCAATAATAAGGTATTGATGGAAAATATAATTTTAATTTTAATTATTAAATGGATGCCACCTTATTGGTACAATAAAGCCCTCCCTACACCTACCCTAACCCTACCCGATACTTTATTTTCAACTTTTTTATTATGTCCTTAATTTTTATTGAAAATAAATGCGTTTACGATGTGATACGAGATTTGAAAAGGGAGAAAAAAAAGTTTGGCAAAAGGTAAGATCGAACCCGGGTCGATCGCGTCAAAAAGCCAACGACACACGCTTATCCATCTGTGCCACTGGAGCTGATGTTTTACAGCCGCTTTTAACTAAATGTAAATATACACTCCGTATTTTTTATTCCATAGTAAGGGCAATTCATACAATACATTTAAACTGAGCTACTTTAATACCATCTCCGAACTTTCTACCAGGACTCTGCTGTTCTTCGGCTGGTTCTTCCCTGTATACGTTGATTGACAGATGTCTTGTCCAGTCAGCGGTGAGTAATCCTAAACCAATGGCGCTGTCTCAAACTATACCTACCTCTTCCGGTTTGTCGGATTTGTCGTTGTGTTTTCTGACTTGTTCATTTGTTTTCGGATTTGTCATTGTGTTTTCTGACTTGTTATAATGTTTTCTGAGTTGTTGATGTGCTTTCGGAATTGTTATTTTGTTTTTTAGACTTGCATTTGCGTTTGCAATTTATTTTGTTTTCAGAATTGTGATTTGTTTTGCACTTCACTCTCACCGTAAATTTTGTCTTTTTACTTCAAAATACAAACTGTAATTTTTACTCCACAAATCTAAAAGCACTGATGTGTCCACAGATTCCTCATAAAAAAACAGACCTAAAAAAGTGTCATATAGTGTCATAGATCACTGTTTTTCAGAGACACAAAATTAGATCAGTTAAGCTCAAAGCTGTTTTGACTGACTAAAGCTTGCAAATGTTGCTATTCAGAGGAAATGGCAAAATTAAAAATAGCATAGCCATTTATCAAAATGTTGAGATTAGATTTTGTGCCATCTATGGTCAAGAGAAAAATCTTGTTGGTCATCTTTCCCAAGCACCTTACCCTGTGCAAAAAACAGTATGTCAAATGAGGATGTTCAAATGCAGTATTTATGAAAGACAAACAATATCTGGGTTACCAACCGCATCCACTAAGATTTTGAAACGCAAAACCACAGTACACCTTGCTTTCCAATAAATCCACAGAAGCTTAGGTCGTCCCTCAGATTTGAAAAGTTGAATTAAGTTAATCCAGCCCGCAGCCCTACAGATATCTGTCAGCGAGGCTCCACGAGCCAGCGCCTAGGAGGATGCAACACCTCTAATTGAGTGAGCTTGCAAATTGAGTGGGCAGGGCACACCCTGTGCCTGATAAGCCAGGGTGATGGCATCCACTATCCAGTGGGCCATCCTCTGCTTTGAGACGGCATTCCCCTCCTGCCGGCCTCCGTGACAGACAAAGAGCTGGTCTGAGGTCCTGAAGCTTTGCGTCCGGTCTACATAGCACCTTAAGGCTCGGACGGGACAGAGCAAAACTAGGGCTGGGTCTGCCTCCTCCGAGGGCAGCGCTTGGAGGTTCACCACCTGATCCCTGAAGGGAGTAGCGGGAACCTTGGGCACGTAGCCGGGCCGGGGCCTCAGGGTTACCTGGGAATCAGCCGGGCCAAACTGTAGGCCCGAATCGTTGACCGAAAATGCATGCAGGTCCCCTACCCTCTTGATAGAGGCCAATGCTAGCAGGAGCAAAGTCTCCATTGAAGGAACTTCGGCTCAACCACCTGCAAAAAGGCTCCAACGGGCCCTACTGTAGTGCCGTGAGCACCAGAGTCATGTCCCACAAGGGAATAGAGGGTGGCCGTGGAGGATTTAACCTTCTCGCTCCCTTAAGGAACCTGACGACCAGGTCATGCTTCCCCAACGACCTCCTTCTACGGGGTCGTGGTTAGCAGCGATTGCAGTGACTTAAATTTTAAGGGTGAAGGGAGACAGCCTTCACTCCAATGCTTGCTGCAAAAAAGGACAGCACAACTCCGATCGGGCATCTTCGGGGGTCTTCTCCGCCCACCGCTAGAAGGACGCCCCCGGCTGCCACCAGAGTGAACCCCAGATCTAGGCAGTGGCACGGGCACTCCGCCCCTTTGCAGGTAACGGAGTCTGGTCCGCAACTCCGAGATGGTCATACCCCCGCCATGGGAGCATGAGCCATCCACGAAAGCCACCTCAGCGTGCTTCATGCCCAGGCACGAGAGGCAGCGATCGTGACCATCACCCAGCGCCAGGTAACGACCGCATCCAGAACGCCCGGGTGATACGTTGTCTATAGCAAGACCCACATCGTCTTTATAAAGACGTAACGTCAAGTTTGCCAAGCAACGTCGTCTTTAGAAAGACGCACCCGAATTTGCTCTTTTAGGGGAAAAAGCTCTTTTAGCGTGCTGGGCGCACAGGGGAGATGATCATTTGCAACACAATCAGGGGGTAGTGCGGCCTGATGTGTGCAACCCACTCGACACGGGAAACCACCACCGCTGAAGCGCCGTCCTCCAACACGAAGAGCTCTCCAAGAGCGTGCTGAACTCGTTCAGTCTTCTCTCCGTAGAGTAGTCAGGAGCGGAACGATGTGATCGCTCGGCTCCGAAGCGAAAAGCTGAATATGCGCTGCACCTGCTGCCTACTTATACTCACGCTGTGATCAGCAGCAGCTGGATGCAATAATCGCATGCCAATGTGCATTGGCTCGTTTAGTTTACACTCGAAGTAGATTGGTCCCTCTAAGCGAGATCCCAATTCGTCGGTCCTCCGACGTGACGTCGAGAGTGACCGACTGAAAGGGAACATATGTGATCCTGTAGCACAGGTATATTTGTAGCAATAGCCAAAAATACATTGTATGGGTCAAAATTATTGATTTTTCTTTTATGCCAAAAATCATTAGGATGTTAAATAAACTTCATGTTCCATGAAGATATTTTGTACATTTCCTACCGTAAATATATACAAATTTTATTTTTGATTAGTAATATGCATTCCTAAGGACTTAATTTGAACAACTTTAAAGGCGATTTTGTAAAAAAAAAATGTTTGCACCCTCAGATTCCAGATTTTCAAATAGTTGTATCTCAGCTAAATGTTGTCCTATCCTATCAAACCATACATCAACGGAAAGCTTATCTATTCAGCTTTCAGATGATCTATACATCTTAACTTCGATAAAACTAACCCTTATGACTGGTTTTGTGGTCCAGGCTCACATATTCTGAAAATACATACACTATTGTTTCAACCCAACTTTGGGTCAAATATGGACTAACCCAGCTGTTGGGTTAAATTTTTACATTAAATGTTTAACCCAAAAGTTGGGTTAGTCCATATTTGACCCAAAGTTGGGTTGAAACAAACCAACATTTTTTAGAGTGTACGTAAAAGTTTTTAAACACTCCTCCCGTTTTCCACTGGCCAGAAAAACATAGTTCTTCTGCCCCAAAATCACTCAGTGCTGAGCCAACAATCAGAGCATTGTTTGCATAGCACCATAGAGCCCCAGCATTTTTTTTTTCAGGGGAATTAACATATGAATGGCTTACTAATGATGATCATATCTTACTAAATTACTATATATATATATATATATATATATATGACCCTCATCATATTTAGCTGAGATAGAACAAATAATTTTAACATAAAAAATTTGCACCCTTCAGCTTTAAGGAGCAGTGTTTGGGGAGGGTTCTTCACTACAGCATGAGTGTGAAGGTGGTTCTGAGGAGGACAGCTCCAGTCATCTCTGCCGAGCCACAACCGAACAGCGAGCAAACGTCCCAGAACCTGCATGTTTGGCTCTGGCATAGCCTTCCCCCCCCCCCCCCAAAGAGGGCAAATTAGGGTATGGGGGGGGGGGGGGAGAGTAAAGTAAATCCCCACTCTTTTACAGTGCTGATCTGGATTTAAACGCTGGACAGATAAATTGTCATTTGAGGAGAGTAGCAGGCGAGCCGTTACAATGGATACGAACATGCGCAAATTTACGGTGAGAAGATGGTTTTCCGTGTACCTGCGCAGAAAGTCGCGATCCAAAAGCTCGAGTTTATGCAAACTAGAGGTGGGTATCACTTCATTTGCTTCGTTTACCAACCTGTGTGTCTTATTTCTTGAATGAAAGGTGTTGAGCGCCTGTAAACAATGTCGAAATCTGACGGTTGCGGTGTAAAGTTGTGATGAAGTGCGAAATGTGAAAACGCAACGTCAAATATTTCAGTGTTGCCGAGATTTATTAACAAAGCTCTTATTTTGTTATTTACATCAAACATGCATTGTATTTTAGATTAGATTTCTCATAGGTTTCGGTTTGAAATAGCCTGAACTGAACTAGTCAAAGAAAAGCATAGGCTAGCCTCTAGGAATATGTAGCCTATAGAGAAGTCCCCATAATTTGGAACCCATCCTGAAGGATCCTAATGGGAGCAAAGAAACCACTAAAAATCGAATAAGATCCCACTGCTGTTCTTACAGTATTTATTGTTTCCTTTTGTATGTTGTGTATCTTTACACGTTGCATATATTGTATGGGGTTAACTGCAGCAGGACAATTTCACAAAGCTGTAAGAGTTTTAAAAGAGTTTCTTAAAAATTTTTGTGTTGTCATATACAGGAGCATTTCATCACTGGTTTATAAAGCTTTTGGGACCCTAATAGTTTGATCGGGACTTGACACTGACACTGCAAAAACAGTAAAAATTCTGTTTTTTATTTTAGTGCACAATATTTGACATGTTTTATAGGTAAAAACAACAGAAATGTATTGCACATAAACCATCACATTCGTTTATGTTGTATATTTGAAAAATCAGGTAGATTTAGAGTTATATATGTTGCATTTACTCACATGGTGTTTTGTCTCTGTGTAGGCAAAACTCTACACTCTAATTATTATCTACACTCTACTCTTATTCATTTTAATATTATTATTGCCCACTATTTCTGGAGAGTTTTTTGTGTGGTTTTTCTTTGTATACTACCTGTTATTATCAGCACATTTTACAGTAGAGAAGAAAAGAAGACTTTAATAGTCTACTGACATTATACTGTACTGTATAATAAATGTGCATTTACAGTTAGAATCTTTACAATATACTCATCAACATGATTTTACATTATGCCTTTAACAATGTCACTGTTCTGCCAGTTCTTCCAGCCACAACATCCAGTATTATCTCCAGAATTTTTTTTTTAATAGTATAATGCCTACTTTTTTAAGTATAATTAGGCTCAAGATTGAACTACTTTAATACATTTTATTCAATTATTATTATACAATTTTAGACCAATTCTCATCAGATGCAGTACACACCAATCTAGACACACCAAGTAGAAGCAGTAAACAACAGCATGTCCTGGTTAGATTTCTAACAGCTGTGGACCCTTCGTCATTCAGTCCTGTGTTGTTTTTGCTGAACCCTCAAATGTCTGCTGGCAACAATGATCAAACTTGACATACCTGTCTCTCAGTATTAATAGTTAAGGCCTCAGAAGAGTTGCATTCCATGAAGCATCTGTGCCCTTGCCCTGATGTCCACTGGATGATGAAATGGACCCAACTTTTATGTCTGTTGTTTCTGATACATTTACATTAAACTGATGTGTGTGTGTCTGGAATGATGATAGAACACATTTAGGCTAGCATGTTGTGTTCAGTTTAGCATCTCATGGAAAATTGTGTGTGTGTGTGTGTGTGTGTATGCTAGCGTGTAATTTAAGCACTTGCTAGTTTTTGTTTCTTTATGGATTAGATTTACTTTGTCTTTTTGCAATATTTAATGAGAAAAGCTCTTTTTTTCAGTGTTAAGCAGCTAAATGTTGCTACTGTTGTCAGAAATGAATTTCTGATGGTTTAAAGCTCCATCCATGCACCACTGAACTTGACAAAACTCTAGACACAGCTTCTTGAAATGATGGGTCATGGAATGTTCTATGAAATCCATATGCTGTTTATTTTTTGATTAGCAAAGTACTGCACTCTACAAACTAAATGACCACATTTAGCCTGCATCATTGTCATTAAGATCCATATTCTGAATGGTGTTTATTCTGAAAAGATGTGTGCTTCAAGATCTGCCTATTCCAAATTAACTATCGCACGCACATTCTTTCCCCACTATTATGTCTTCACTGTTGAAATGATAAACATTTCACAATGTTTGTTAATTCTAGACAGTAATTAAAGGAACTCATTATTTCTCAAATGTATTCCTGGCAACAGCACAGTGAATTGAAATATGTGAAACATTAGACACTCACCTGTCTGTACATTGGATATATTTTCATTTCTTTTCATGTTCATCAAATTGAAAATCTGTTTTCAGAAACTCTCCATGTCTCATAGCACAAATTGCTTTTGTTTGGAATGACTATGCATCTGTTTACAAAGGACAATTTTGAATTTTTTCTCTCCTTATTGTTGTACTAGACGCGTATATTGGCCTGATGTATTTCTTTATTTAAAATTCATTATGTTGATGATACCAGGTAGCTATTGCCATATCATATGCTCTTTGAAGAAGCCAGATTTCAGTAATCCTTTTTTGTAAAGGAAGCCATGTAATTCTGCTCTCATCATTCTGTATTCAGGGTTACATGTAGATTCATCTATAATTTGATGCATGTTAAGTTTATTAACAATTCTAATTCTAATTGCTAATCTACTTATGCAAGAGCTGAAGTCAAATCTAAGCTAAAGTCCAGGCATTCATTTCTATACAGGATCTAACAGATCTGAATACATATCAGGTTATGTAATGCTGTCCAGATTGTCACGTGTCAGATTTGCAAAGGTACTATAGATTTTATTATGACACATGGGTAATTACTTCAGCAAAATTGACCTTCTGAAAAATATGTACATGCCAAGAACTACTGAGAATTATATTGTAACAAATAATGTGAAATAATAGAGTACTTAAGTCGACAATAAAAGCTCTAATCTGTCTGATTGCAGTGATTTTACAGTGATGTGTTGACTGAAAACAGTGCAGTGGCTACTTAATTTTGAAGTGAAATTGAACTAAAATAGGAGTGTTTGGATGGCTGTGCTAATTGTTTTGAAAGCATTGACCTTAGTTCGTTGAAATGTGTAAAATATATCCATGATTATGTAAAAATATATCTTATACATCTATCTTATAAGTTCTGCTCTATAGCTTTTGTCGATAATTTTTTTATGCAATAACAAGACACTATAGGCCATGCATTGCAGAGATTTGACAACAGTGAAGGGAGTTTTAGGCCTTGTGCTGTGCAAAAGAACACCCTTTAATTATGGAAAAATCTCTGCAGTGCACAGCTTTGCTTCATTTTGACACAAAGGACTGGAATCCTGACTAAAATTGATTAAATTTGAATTGTGGTGAGCATAAATCAGTGATTACTGGATATTTGTATTTAGATGTATGGCTTGTTATAGCAATGTCATACTGTGTTGCTTGTGCTGTAGGACTATATCTGTCAGGACCACTATCGTCAAAGATGATTGACAATTAGCATACAGTTTGGATTGGCGGTATGGTTCTGTTCTGGGCAAGAACTCCCTGGGCCTCCATGCAGCCTAGCATGGATGAGAGCAGGGAGAGCAGCAATAACCCCCCAGGGTACACAGAACAGAACTAACATAAATGTATTGCAGATATTGTTAAAGTTCAATTTTTTGTACACATTTTAGAATTAGTCTGATTCAAGGAGAATCAGAAGCCTGAATCCCGACTGACAGAGGAGGAGTTGGGGATGGAGGAGGGTAATTAGCTATTGAGCAATGCGAAAACTGCTGATAATACTGAGGGACCTTATATATGAATGCTTAGATAGGTGTCGTATTCCCATAGGTAGATGGGGATCAGCTGAAGGTCAGCTAAAGCGAGCTTGACTAACGTGATCTGCCAGAACTAATGCTACGCTTGATTCTTATTTAATAAAGTGAGTTTACATGCTCTTTGTGGCAGATTGTGAGCTCTCACGCACAGACAGAAGCTGGTCTAGTGTGTAGGCTGGTGTAGAGCATCTAAGATATTACTATACCACACTGTGCCGTATTTCAAGATCCATCTTTAGATTACAGTACCATCACAGCAGTCCTGCCGCAGTAAAATGTAAATAGATTTTTGGCACTAGAATTGTGGAAGAAAAAACATATTCACTAAAAATAAACTGTGCTTGCTGAAAGTGTTTATCTGCATGCACTGTCTGGTGTTGTTTTAGCACCCAATTTATATCATTAAAAAAATGCTTATTTGCCCTTTTTTTTCTAAGCCATCAAGCAACCCATCAGATCTGAAATGCAGGTCATACCAGCTCACTTTCATCATGCTGTTGATATCCAGTGATGTGTTTAGACAGGGCTCTGATCTACAGTGTTTACCATCTCTATCTAGAGCTGGTCCCACTGAGTATTTATATGTGATTTATTCATATCACTTTTAATTTTCAAGTCTTTCCAAAATGAGCCATAGTTGCATGGTTCAGCTGAAAATAACATCAGAAGTTTTGGCTTTTAAAGCAGAATCTTGAAAATGAAATGGAACCTAATAAGTGACTAATTTTGAAAGCTAAATGTATCGATTCTGTATCTCATACACACAAAGCATATGGGATACTTAATTTGAGAGGAGTTTGGAGGTTTAGCTAAGCTAAAGTAGCATTTTACAAAATATTTTCACTGCCTCGCTACTAGAGAAACGTCTAAATGTGAATAAAAAAGAAAACCAAACAATTTAACATAAAACAAAATTAAACACACTCTTGTTTAAACGCACCGTCACTCATTAAATGTGAATTTGGCCAAAAGTTATTATCTTAGAAGGCTGCATAATTGCTGCTTTTCATTTGAAACAGACTTCACGTGAGGAGTGATTATAATGTCACACAATTCACAATGGGTTTGTATGGACCCTCTGTTGAGCAAAATGAAATGAATTTAGTGTCTGTTTGTTTTTGACTGCAGTAGCACAGCTTTTGCACAATCAAAAGAAAATTATTTTGTGAGATGAGTCTGAAAATAGAACCACTCAGGCCGAATCCTAAATTGAAAACAAAATTGAAAAGCCTGTTTGGTTTGTTGACGAGTGGAAGGCAATTTTTTCTTACAAGTGACAATTTCAAAATCAATCTTCATAGATCATTTCCTTGCACTTAAATTGAATTCAGCCTATAAGAGTAATTTGATTATATAAGGCCGAGTCCAGGACTAGTTGTCACACTACTGTAAATATTTCTCAAGATTTGTCATATAGATGTCACATGTTTATACAATCCACAACTCTTAAACTTCCCCATGTGACAACTAGCCCCAGTCTCTGCTGTATCATTTCCATCTCCATGATCCAAAGGTGAAATATCACCAAAGCAGAGTTTAAAATCCATCATCATACTCTGCTGACGATCATGATGAGTTGTCATTAGGCTCTTTTGTTTGGCTTGGCTTTTATGTGCGTAGCTCAGAGCTGTCAGAATTGTTAATCAGGCCTCAGTGCTGAAGGTGAAGATTGTATATCCTCAGTGTACTGATTATCACGTCACAGGAGTGGCCCAGGCTGGACTGTAGTTATGTAACGCAGCTGCACATTTATTTATTCGTTTGCGTGGCGTGCCATAAGCCGGTTTAAGCTGTGTCAGTCCCAGCACGGGTGCATCATTTAGCTGTGCTCAGCGTTTGAGTTCACAGGCACATTTCTGCAGTGTGGCAGTCCAGACTGTCCCCTCTGCAGGCACCCACCCTCACTGCCGGGGTACCTGGCACAGACCCACAGAGAGAGAGAGAGAGAGCGAGAGAGAGAGAGAGAGAGAGAGAGAGAGAGGGCTGTTATTGGGAGAGGACTGCATTTGGAACACAACTGACCCACAGCTCCTTGGTTACTGTTACTCACTCAGACAAACAGTACAGAACAGAATTAAATTGGAGATTCCATTATTTTCAATAAAATGTGCCCATAAAGTGGTAAAAATTGAATATATATTTAACTTTCGTGAAAACAGCAGCTGCGGTTGCCAGAACTTTACCATAAAAATTACAGCAGCAATATTTAAAAATATATAAATTTATAAATATGTATATGTATAATTTTTTTGACATCCACTTTAAAAACACAGAAAAAAACACAAGCTGAGATAAATAATATATAAAGGGTGCACAATGTCATACACACAAAACGCCATCATGACACTAAAATAATGCAAGAACATGTAACAAAACCCTAATGTACATAAATAATATGAAAACAAACTAGAATAAAGTTATTTCAATAAAAAGAAACATCAAGTGTGATTTTTCTTTTTCACTTCCAAAAACTAGATTTAACATTATTTTAATGTAAAACAACATGAAATGTCCCATTAGATATATTACACTTTTAAAGGAATTTTACCAAAGCATTTTTACAGTTTTTACTGTTAAATTTGTATTCGTTTTTATTAATTTACATTGGAGCAATTGTACTGTAAGTGTTTTTTACTGATGAACTCCTCAGCATTTATTTAAATGAAATACATTTTAATGATACTTTTGATTGTGAACAGTATGTGTGTGTGTGTGCGTCTAACCTCAGATTGTGCCAGGTAGACTGTCACTATAATTATACTGTAAATCACTTTGGATAAATCACAACCTGCTAATTACTTTTATACTAAAAATAAATCTGAACATGAACATGATATTTAACACTGCTTGTACACTGTAAAGGTTCTTACTTTATGGAGCTATTTCTAACTGATAAAGATGTCATGAATGATTTATAGTTTAAATTCTATTATAATGTTTCTAATGTTTTTTTTTCTTCTCCAAAATCATCCAGATATATTTATGTTGTTTGTGAACTAATCCCTAATGCCATAGTACTCTGTGAAATCACAAATTCCAGACAAATCTGCAGTCTTTAGCTACATTTTCTGTATCAAATTCAAGGAAAAATATGCTAACTAGATATACTGTACATCTGAGTTTAACGGGCTTTCAGAAAAGAAAAAATGTAGGGCTGGGACTAGGTTACATGCATCGATTGTTGATTGGATTTTGAGATGTGGCTATTTCAGAAATTTTTGCATCTTGAACAGTGTATGTCTCTGTGCTCTACTTTTGTGTGTAGTTTAGAGCATTATCAAATTAGCCAAAATATTTAAACAAAGAGTCTAGTACCAAGGGCATGTAGCTCTTTGTAAATGATAGGTTTTCTAATTCTGCTGAAATCTGTGGCGCTTTCTGCAGGTTCCACACGGACCTGTGAATCTGATTGTTATTTGTATATTGCGCGCTTTTGCATTGTAAAAAAAAAAGCACAGAGTAAATGAATATGGCAATGAAATCCTACACTGATGATCACACCATCTGAACCCTTTTCCTTGACCTGTTGTTTACTACTGTTATTCATAATCCCAGCTGGCATCATATCACTAAATATGCTTAAACACACAGCTTTATGGCAAAATAATTTGTTTATTTTCCTCTGAGCCGTGCCATCTGTTGCCTTTGCAGGATGACAGCATCTTAAAGGAGTTTGATATCAGCCATCATGTGAAGGAGGGCTTTGAGAAAGCAGACCCGTCACAATTTGAGCTGCTCAAGGTGTTGGGTCAGGGCTCCTATGGAAAGGTGAGCTTTGAAAATGCTGCGTCTGACTTCTTCTCTGTGTGGTACTATAATGCAGACTCATCGATTGCTAAAATTAGATATGCCGTTTGTTTGGATGTCATTTTGTTAATGCAAGTGGAGTTTGTGGTAATGGATGTAAAACCATTTTCAGTGTCCTTTTAAACCCTTCATTTGAAATTTAGAGAGTCAGGATTTACATTACATACTATTAAATGATTACCCCTTGTCTCAAAACAAAAAATAACAGCCTGTTCTAAAACAAATAGTAAGCTGTATGCAGGCAGCACATTATAATTGCATGATCAACACAAAGGCCATTCAGTAAGGTAGGCTGCATTATCAGAGATACCTTTGGAGAAATTTTAAGGTAGCATCACATTTTTTTTTAGCAGAGGAGGTCTGATCTTAATTTAGAAAAAAAAATAAAAAATCCAAGATGGCAGTATAATATAATTAATTATAATTAAAATTCATTCACTACTAAAAAATTACGTGTGCTGTGTATTTTGTTTAATGGAGTACTGCATTGTTAGCTTAGTAACATGCTAATGCCAAATTCCACTGAAATCAATTGTGTGTTGACTTTTCTGGGCTATTTATATGGTTCCTTCCTATTTAGAATATTTCAGATGAATCATTCATGTTCCATGTTAGTTAGGATGTTGCCTTAGCTGGTTGTGTTGTGTCTTTAGAAGTCATATGATACTGTATCTTTGTGTGAAGAAGACTGTTGAATTTTTAGCCTTGATGCCTTTAAATGCTGGCTGCATAGGCAGTTCACCAAGTTTTAGAGCATGTAAAGAATTTTCAAGAAAATTCTGTCTGTCAATCTTTACACAAAGCTGTCATACGTCTTAAAACGAAATAAACTTTTCCACAACATTCTAATTTATTGAGATGCACCTGTACTGTCATATGAATATGCGGTCCTCTTTTATGATGTTTTTCCACCTTTTTTGGAACTTGACAGACCCTGGACACTGACTAAGGACTTGTTTACACCTGGTCACTTGTGTGTTTTTAGTAATCGGATAGCTATCTGATTTGTTAAAATGATTCCATTTACACTTGGCCACATAAATGTGTTTTCACAAAATGAAAATAAATCTGATCTTCAATTCCCATGCCATATGCTAATTCAATGAAACGTCGATCAAAAACATTAATGAAAGCAAGAGATATGAGCTGCATTTGATTTATCTTCTGCTAAGATCAAAGCACAACAAGAGAGAACACTGGTAAAATAATCTAGTCTTAGTACTTTTTACAAAGATGAGAGTGTGTTTAGCATCTGCAACTTGCTTTCAGTTTCATTTGCATCAGTTTGTGCGTCAGCTTGCTGAGGAGATACTTATCTGCGGTGACGCATGTAGCTGTCATATCCGGCTATAACGTCATATAGCCTATATTAGACGCTCTTACTCTTTTATTTTTTTTTAACATTTTGGGAGGAGCAAAATTTACATATGTGGTTTTAACATCCTATGTGGTTTTTGACCTCACGTTTTATTTTACAGGTGTTCTTGGTTAGAAAAATCAAAGGTTCAGATACAGGACAACTCTATGCCATGAAGGTCTTAAAAAAAGCAACACTAAAAGGTAAAACTGACGCTTAATTATGAGCTCTGAATTTTGATTTCTTCTCTACAATTTGTGTGCTTTGCATTTGTCAATCTTTGCCTAGTATGCACTGATGTAAAACCTGCAGTTATTTAACTGCAGCATGACATCTAACCTATGAGTCATAACTGAGCTGCTAGGAGGTCTGAAGTGCTCTCTAGTTGATTTTTAAGGAGTATCTGAATCATCAAATTGTTTAACATGGGGAAAGGTCCCCCTCAGACACCCAGGAAATTTTCCTGAGTGGCAATTTTTCAGTATTGCGCACTTCAGATCCGTAGCTTCCCTTGAACAAAGACAATGAATTAATCTCAAACAACGAACAAAGCAGATAAACCTGAAACCTTAAGCAGCAAACTTGACTTTCCTCATCACATTTTTTTTTTGCCTTTGTTTTTACACAACAAACACGAACACAAAACAGCAGTTATCATAGTGATTCATAATGCTCAGTTTGGAGTGGTAGTTTATTTCACAACCTGTTCACAACCTACATAACCTATTCACTCGATGTAACCATGGTTACATCCCAAAGTCTTTGCTCTCGGCGAATGATGTTGTGCAAGTTTTTCATGTGCGTGTGAATGAAAATAACAGTATTGGTAACTGTGGCACCTCACTGTCAGACCACAGCAGTGCTGCAGCTGTTACGTAAGACAGACCATTCAATGTAAAGCACCATGTGAAGCATCCAACATTCAATGAAGCATCCAACATGCTGCTTTTGATTTCAGACTTGTCAAAGGTTTGTAGTTAAGTCCTGCAGGTTTAAAGTGAAATCCGTAATTTTTTTTATATTAATATTTACAGAATCAACTAAGAACAGGTCATTCATGTAAACACTGACTTTTAAAAATAATATAAATCTATCGGGCACAGTTCAGATCATCTTGCATGCATGTAAACAGCAAAAAGAATGAGATCTGATATTTTTCATTCACATGTGGTTTTATATGGTGCATATCTAATTACTGTACTTATGTCTAAATGCCCATATCCGATCTTTTCTTAATAACCATGTTTAATAATCACAGTAATGTAATACTCATTTAGACATCTGCATATCCAAACTAGGATCTTGGGAGCTACAAGATGGCAGGCAGCTTTAAAATTTGTCAAGCAAACAACTTATTAATAGGGTGACAAATTATTAGTTTTTCTGCAAACATTTAAAGCAATGAGTAGTAACCACTTTGACATGCATATGAAGATGCAATCAGGTTATTTGTGGTCATATAAACCTGTTAACCCAGTTGCCATTATTTGGTAGAAATCCATATAAATGTCACAGGCATTTTCTTGTTCTGGAGTGTGTTTCACAAAAACAACTATGGTCGCAAGTTCCGTCATTACCAATATAGTTCAATGGAACTTGCGACCATAGTTAGCTAACGTCTCGGTTACATATGTAACCCTCGTTCCCTGAAGGAGGGAACGGAGACGTCACGTCGTGACCGCTGAATTGGGATCTCGCTTCGAGAGACCAATCTACTTCGAGTGTAAACTAAACGAGCCAATGGACATTGACATGCGATGATTGAAAAAGGTAGCAGGTGCAACGCTGCTCAGCGGTGATACAGCAGCAGTGGTGATGGGACGTGACGTCTCCGTTCCCTCCTTCAGGAAACGAGGGTTACATACGTAACCGAGATGTTCCCTTTCAGGATCCCTACCAAAGCACCATGGATCCTGCCCCTTCCAGTGTCCTGTGCGAGCCTCCTGCGCCCCCTTTTTGGGGTAGGCCGGGGCTCGCAACAAGAAGACCAGTCACCGTTGTCATAGCACTACCCACTCAGTGAGATTGGATAACACTGGGAAGATATATCTGTTCCACTTGGAACAGGAACGTTGCGGAAGCCCTATCCTTCCCGAGGGAGGTTTTGTTCACAACCTACATAACCTATTCACTCGATGTAACCATGGTTACATCCCAAAGTCTTTGCTCTCGGCGAATGATGTTGTGCAAGTTTTTCATGTGCGTGTGAATGAAAATAACAGTATTGGTAACTGTGGCACCTCACTGTCAGACCACAGCAGTGCTGCAGCTGTTACGTAAGACAGACCATTCAATGTAAAGCACCATGTGAAGCATCCAACATTCAATGAAGCATCCAACATGCTGCTTTTGATTTCAGACTTGTCAAAGGTTTGTAGTTAAGTCCTGCAGGTTTAAAGTGAAATCCGTAATTTTTTTTATATTAATATTTACAGAATCAACTAAGAACAGGTCATTCATGTAAACACTGACTTTTAAAAATAATATAAATCTATCGGGCACAGTTCAGATCATCTTGCATGCATGTAAACAGCAAAAAGAATGAGATCTGATATTTTTCATTCACATGTGGTTTTATATGGTGCATATCTAATTACTGTACTTATGTCTAAATGCCCATATCCGATCTTTTCTTAATAACCATGTTTAATAATCACAGTAATGTAATACTCATTTAGACATCTGCATATCCAAACTAGGATCTTGGGAGCTACAAGATGGCAGGCAGCTTTAAAATTTGTCAAGCAAACAACTTATTAATAGGGTGACAAATTATTAGTTTTTCTGCAAACATTTAAAGCAATGAGTAGTAACCACTTTGACATGCATATGAAGATGCAATCAGGTTATTTGTGGTCATATAAACCTGTTAACCCAGTTGCCATTATTTGGTAGAAATCCATATAAATGTCACAGGCATTTTCTTGTTCTGGAGTGTGTTTCACAAAAACAACTATGGTCGCAAGTTCCGTCATTACCAATATAGTTCAATGGAACTTGCGACCATAGTTAGCTAACGTCTCGGTTACATATGTAACCCTCGTTCCCTGAAGGAGGGAACGGAGACGTCACGTCGTGACCGCTGAATTGGGATCTCGCTTCGAGAGACCAATCTACTTCGAGTGTAAACTAAACGAGCCAATGGACATTGACATGCGATGATTGAAAAAGGTAGCAGGTGCAACGCTGCTCAGCGGTGATACAGCAGCAGTGGTGATGGGACGTGACGTCTCCGTTCCCTCCTTCAGGAAACGAGGGTTACATACGTAACCGAGATGTTCCCTTTCAGGATCCCTACCAAAGCACCATGGATCCTGCCCCTTCCAGTGTCCTGTGCGAGCCTCCTGCGCCCCCTTTTTGGGGTAGGCCGGGGCTCGCAACAAGAAGACCAGTCACCGTTGTCATAGCACTACCCACTCAGTGAGATTGGATAACACTGGGAAGATATATCTGTTCCACTTGGAACAGGAACGTTGCGGAAGCCCTATCCTTCCCGAGGGAGGTTTCGGAAGCACTTACACATATGAACAACCGTTTAGGTGCATATGGAATATTAGAGATGATTGTAACCCTCTTGGAAATGGAAGAAGACTGCCGGGGAAACACGGGCTCTCAGGCTATACCGTGGACTTTACACATATGGGATCCACTTAGGTCTCTACATATGGAACCCAGCCCTCTACCGGTTCTCACGGATTCATAGAGCGAGGGCCTGGCCCCAGACGTTCCGGCACGTCTGGCTGCTGAGGGGATGGAGGAGCTCGACAGGGTCTACAGTACAGACTCTCTGGAGCGGTTTTAGCAAGCCGACACTAAACCGGGGCCTCTTATTGCTTCTACCTGTTTGAGGTGAGAACACAGGAGGGTTCACAGTACCGGCTCCACATGAAGGCTTTAGAATCTAGCGAATGTGTTAAGGGTCGCCCACCCCGCAGCTCCACAAATATCTGTCAGTGAGGTGCCACAAGCCCAGGAGGATGCAACACTTCTAGTAGAGTGAGCTCGCAACCTGAGCGGGCAGGGCACACCCTGTGCCTGGTAAGCCAGGGTGATGGCATCCACTATCCAGTGGGCCATCCTCTGCTTAGAGATGGCATTCCCCTTCTGCCGGCCTCTGTAACAGACGAAGAGCTGGTCTGAGTTCCTAAAGCTTTGTGCCCGGCCTCAGGATTACCTGGGAGTCAGCCGGCACAAAATCTAGGCACGAATCGTCGACCGAGCAGAGTTTTCATTGATAGAAACTTCAGCTCAACTGACTGCAAAGGCTCAAATGGACCCTGCTGTAGTGCTTTGAGCACTAGAGTCAGGTCTCAAGAGGGTATAGAGGGGTCCGGGGAGGATTTAACCTTCTCGCCCCCCTAAGGAACCTGATGACCAGGTTATGCTTCCCTACCTACTTCCCTTCCACAGGGTCATGGTTAGCAGCAATCGCAGTGACATAGACTTTAAGGGTGGAGGGAGACAGCCTTCGCTCCAACCCTTGCTGCAAAAAGGAAAGCACAACCCTGATCAGGGCATCTCTGGGGGTCTTCTCGGTGAGAAGGCGTAAGCGTGTGTCGCAGGCATTGCTCTCACCGAAGTGAGGGTGTCAACTACCTCCTGGGCTAGGACACCTAGAACCTCCGCGTCCCATCCAGGGACCAGAAATGAAGTTTCCAGAGGTCTGGACATGGATGCCACAGGGTGCCCCATCTCTGAGTCGGTAGATCCTTCCTCAGAGGAATCTGCCAGGGAGGGGCTGTCACGAGGAGCATTAGTTCCGGGAACCAGGTTCGAGTGGGCCAATAGGTCCCTGTGCTCGCACAACTGATCCCAAGACTGTGCTAGTATAAGCCAATCATCGAGATAGAGGATGCGAACACCCTGCTCTCTGAGGGGAACAAGAGCCCCCTCCGCAACTTTCGTGAAGACACGGGGAGACAGGAACATCCTTCGAACGCGAACCGCAGAAATGGTCTGTGGCGCGGAAGGATCGACACATGAAAGTTAGCATCCTTCAGGTCGATCGCTGCAAACCAATCTCGGGGACGGATGCACCCAAAGATGTGTTTCTGTGTCAAAATCTTGAACGGTAACCGGTGAAGGGCCTGGTTCAAGACACGCAGGTCCAAGATTGGTCGTAACCCACCGACTTTCTTGGGTACAATGAAGTAGGGCCTGTAAAACCCCATCCTTATATCGGCTGGAGGGACCGGCTCTATCGCACCCTTCGCCAGTAGGACTACGATCTTCACATGCAAGACAGGAGCATCGGCCGCCTTCACTGCCGTAAAGCAGATGCCACTGAACTTGGTGGGACGCCATGCGAACTGAATCGCCTAGCCGATGGTCCGCAGAAGCCAGCGAGACGGGCTGGGTAGCGCTAGCCAGGCACCCAGATACCGTACAAGCAGGACCAGCAGAACCACCGCCGTTCCCGCAGTGGGGCAGCGAGGTGGAATGCAGGGACCCAACTCGGGAGGCTCGTGGGCGGACTGAAGAGAAGTTTGAGTGTGCAGTGCACCCGGCTCCATGGTGCTGCTTGGCTGGAGGCTGCTGCGGATGCGGCGCGGGAGCAGGCTGGAGGCAGCAGCTGCCCGCCGGGGCAGGATGTGACGAATCGCCTCAGTCTGCTTCTGTGCAGCCGAGAACTGCTGTGCAAAGCTCTCGACCGTGTCGCCGAAGAGGCCGGTCTGGGACACAGGGGCATTGAGGAACCGAACTTTGTCGGCGTCCCTCATGTCGGCCAGACACAGCCAGAGATGGCGTTCCTGGACGACAAGTGTGGACATCGCACGACCCAGAGAACTCGCCATGACCTTCGTCGCTCAAAGTGAGAGGTCAGTAGTGGTTCGGTGCTCTTTCAGAACTTCCGGATCGTGACCACCCTCATGCAGGTCCTTCAGTGACTTGGCCTGATGAACCTGCAGTAACGCCATAGCGTGTAAGGCGGAGGCAGCTTCTCCACAAGCCGCATAAGCACCGCCAGTCAGACCAGACGAATGCCTACAGGCCCAGGAGGGGAGCGACGATTTGACGAGGTGGTATTAGAACACAACTGCATCGCTACCAACCGCTCCACTGGGGGGATCGCCGTATACCCCTTATCTGCACCTCTGTCGAGGGTGGTGAGGGAGGAGGAACCAGCAGGTCGGTTTCTGACAGTAAAAGGTGCCATCCATGACCTGGTGCGCTCCTCATGCACCTCCGGGAAGAGAGGCACCGGGGCGTGGCGCTGAGAACCAGCGTGAGCCACCACGAGAAACCAATCGTCCAACCTCGAGGGCTCGGGACGCGGTGGAGGTTTCCACTCGAGCCCTACCCTCTCGGTGGCCCGGGACAGCATAGCCGAAATCTCTGGATCCAATTCAGGCCTTGCCACCATCCCGGAGGGCGGCAGGGCAGCCGAATCTTCCTCTCCAGAGAGCTCTCCCTCCGATGCAGTGATGGACATCCGGTCGTCGGAAGGAGCACCAAAGGATACCGCTGGTACGCTCTTCGAAGAGGGCCCAGCGTGTTCCTTTGGCAGCTCGACTGGTTGCGAAGTGCTAGAGGAGTGATGGTCCCCCAAGGGTTGGTTCCCTGAGGGGTTTGCCACCACTGTAACTCTCAGACCGCCCGAAGTAGTCTTCGCTTGGCTGCCGCCAGGACGAACACTAGATCGCGGCAGAGGCAACGGAGCTCCGCTCCCCTGGAGGTAACGGAGCCTGGTCCGCAGCTCCGAGATGGTCATCTTCCCGCAATGGGAACATGACTCATCCACGAACGCCACCTCAGTGTGTTTAATGCCCAGACACGTGAGGCAGCGATCGTGAACATCACCCGGCGCCAGGTAGCGACCGCATCAGCCACTGCTGAAGCGCCGTCCACCAACACAAAAAGCTCCCTAGAGCGCGTTGAACTCGTCGTCACAACGAAGATATGGCAGGACCAGAACGATGTTATCACTTGGCTCCGAAGCGAAAAGCTGGTTGAACCTGCTACCTGTTACCTTTTACCTTTAAGCTCATGCTGTGATCAGCGGCAGCTGGATGCAATCATTGCATGCCAATGTCCATTGGCTCATTTAGTTTACACTCTAAATAGATTGATCTCTTGAAGCGAGATCCCAATTCGTTGGTCACGACGTGACTCGTAGTGACCGACTGAAAGGGAACAATGCTTTTGGAAAACACACCCCAGTTTAGCTTCTAGTCATGGTTTTCTACGTCACAGACTTTTCCTGAGTTGGTAGTTTGTTGCCATAGTTTCTAATTAGTTTCACACCTGTTCTGTTGATTATCATCCTTGTGTATTTAAGCCTCAGTTCTGTGTACGTTGTTGACGTTATGTTAGATGTGCACTGGGCTTTTGCTCTGTGTTTATTAAAGTCGTCTTGTTTCATATTCATTCTGCGTCACGCATCTCCTTTTGGGATTTTACTACACCCTAACCATGACAATAAGACTGACGGAGTATGCCATTATTAATAGAAATTGTGTGTCAAGAATCTTAATTGGAATTTCAATTGTTCATTTACGGGGAGTTGCCAACTAAAAACAGAAAACTTTTTATGTGTTTTGGCTGTTAATTTACACAAAAGCAGCATTTTGACGGCCTTTAGTTTCTGAAAATGATACCATTATCATTTCACGAGTTCACCTGCCCATCCAGTCCTGGTGGTTAATGGTAAACAAACTTGGCTTCCTGTCCTCAACGGAGGCTCGAATCCGAGGCTCGGCTTGAGCTCAGAGTTCAACCTCCCCCATTGAGGTACTACATGAAGGAGGAGATGGGGAGGTGGAGGTATGCTGGAAGAATTGTCACTGGAAAGGCACAATTACTGCTGCTTATATAGTCTTGTAATGATGATTGACAAGACTAAATGATTAGGCTCCTCCCGAACCTATCTTTAGAACTTCTTGTGCATTCAAGTCCTCCTGGGAAGTTCGTATTTACGAGTTGACAAGTCGTAATTATACGTCAGTGCGTTTGAGTCACTTTGGTCAGAAGAAGATGGCAATTTAATTTTTCTACATAAAATTCAACATTTTTTAACTCTACATCTACAAAATGATATATAAAGAATGTCCATCTTCATCATGTTTTTTTATTTTTTTTTATTAGGTGATGTAAACAGAATCATTATATATTATATGGTAATTATGCAATACTATAATATTTTGTATATGTAACTTATACAGTTTTATTGTATATGACAAAAAAAATAATTTTATTAATTTCAACAAATTTACCGTCAATACAGGCACTGCATATCTATAGTCCATTGCATCCGGCAAGTTTTCTCACTGACACACCCCCAACTCGGAAACTCTGGGCTTAAAGAACATTTCGAGTTTCTCACTCATAAAAATGACATTGTTGTGGCATTCATGTGCGTTCAACTCGTAAATACGATCTATCCAACATGACTTGAACACACCATTCATCTCATGTAAGCTACAAAAAAACACAAATTTGTGCTGGTCTGGCTACTATAAAATGTGAATGGGGATAATTTTTACAACTATGTCACCTGGACAACTTTTCCATTTTTAGCACATCATTGTCCAGTATGTACAGTGGGGAAAAAAAGTATTTAGTCAGCAACCAATTGTGCAAGTTCTCCCACTTAAAAAGATTAGAGAGGCCTGTAATTTTCATCATAGGTATACCTCAACTCCATTAATACAGGTAACGTGTGGAGGACAGAGGAGCCTCTTAAATAAGAAGTTACAGGTCTGTGAGAGCCAGAAATCTTGCTTGTTTGTAGGTGACCAAATACTTATTTTACCGAGGAATTTACCAATTAATTCTTTAAAAATCCTACAATGTGATTTTCTGGATTTTTTTTCTCATTTTGTCTCTCATAGTTGAGGTATACCTATGATGAAAATTACAGGCCTCTCTCATCTTTTTAAGTGGGAGAACTTGCACAATTAGTGGCTGACTAAATACTTTTTTACCCCACTGTATATAAAATATCTTGACTGAACACTGAACTTGTAAAAATTTAAGCTATCAAAGAAGCACGTTCAGATGATCTGTGCTTTGCAATTTATTGTGTTTTTGTCAAGGGAATGAATAAGAGTGAATTAATTATTTGTAAGTATTTAATCATAATTTTATTTGTAACCATAACTAATGAGCCTCTACATTTTGTCTCTATGTATTTTAAGTGCGGGACAGAGTGAGATCGAAAATGGAGCGAGACATTCTTGCAGAAGTGAATCATCCCTTCATTGTCAAACTCCACTACGGTGAGTTTTTTTCTCAAGAGGAGACTGTAAGCAACAGAACAAGAGCATTTACACAGGAACATCAGTTTCTGAACCCACTGTGCACTGCTGAAATGACAAACAGAAAATGTTGTGGAGTGACGAACTACATGTAGCAATGCTTCTAACTAAACTACTGTACATTCTACAGTTGTATGACAGTAGCTCAGATCTTTTCATAGCACTATAGCCTTTTACAGTAATGAGCTATTCGGTAATATTTTCTGTTAAAGATTATGTCTCATCTGATTGTAAAAATCGATTATATTATCTAATAATTATTTATTTAAAAAGAGATTTCCAGTAGCTTGACTGTAGCATTTAAACTGAGTGGCATGTAACTTTTCAGGTTTTTACAGGTTTTTTCCCTTGTGCTTCTGAAAATTACTGCTTAAATGTTACCTTTGTTGCTTTTCCACTCAGCCTTTCAGACAGAAGGAAAGCTGTACCTTATATTGGACTTTCTCAGAGGGGGAGATCTTTTCACACGCCTCTCAAAAGAGGTCAGTTTTTATGAAACTGCTCGAGTCAACTAAATATTTCTGCTGTTCACTAAATAGGCAAACATGGCATGCTTGTTTGGTTCTAAATGCTTCTAAAAGGAATAATTAATTTAAAAATCATCTTTGTATCATAATTTGTGTTGCTGTAATTCCCAAATACTCAGGTGTGGCGTATACGTGGTGCACATGCGCGACCAAAATAAAAAATAAGTAAACAAGTTCAGACCGCTCATTTGCATACCAACATGGCATATACTTACTTGCCAGCAACCCACCAAAATAAAAGCTTGCTGATTTTATGTTTGAAAATGATGAAAATTAATTTTAAAAGTGTATACTAGCATTGTATTTTTAAGTACTATAAAATAATTTTATTTTTACTTAATACTCGATTTATTTGGAAATATAATAGTCATCACACTGATTATTTTGTTTATTATTTTATTAAAATACAAAATCAATAAATGCAATAATACTTTTATTACTATTATAAATTATTTTATTTTAATTATACAGTTATATTTAATGAGTCACACTGTGTGCAGTGTGAGCAACAAACCAAATCTCCACCCTTATTTTCTCCATGGCACACAAAAGGAGATGTTTTTAAGAATGCTGTTGCTGCACTTTTCGAGTGAAAGTGAATGGGAAGAGATGTTTTTGTGTTTTGTGCTCCAGGGGAGAAAGTCATATAGGTTTGGGATAACATGACAGTGAGTAAATGAGTAGACAGTTATAATACCAATTTGTGTCCACTCATTATACAGCTGAGCTGATTTGCTGTTGCTCAGTGATAGGCTGTAAGCATTTGGTCGTTTAGTAATGAACAAAACATCCACCTGCAGCAGAGGTACATCCACATGTGCATTCTGAACTGTAATGGAGATGTCATTTGGTCCGAATGCCTTGGTAATTAAAGCCATGTCTGGCATCTATTCTCTGATGGATGGTGTAATTGGTCCCTCTTAGCACTAACTATACTGTAATTCTCCTTAATGGAGTGTTTGATTTTCTTGATCACATCACTTTCTTATCTCCCAAACTTCCCTCAAGGATCTGCTCCCTTCACGCATGGGAACAAATCTGATTATTGATCTATTGACAACAAAGCCTGTACTTTCTGAGCTGTGAATCACACATTATAGCAGCAGAGGCCATCAGTGGAAAATTATCAATGCTGGCAAGGATTAAGGGGAAATCATTTGTTTTACATTGATTAGCACAGTTTGTGTCTGGCGGTTGTATAAAGTTTGTAATATATCCCCTGTATGCTGAAGATATTCTCAGCCACTGAAGCCAAGTTCATGTGTGTGTGTGTGTGTGTGTATACAGGTTTATATATCCTGGTGGGGACTTAAACCTGAATACACACAGACTCATGGGGACTCGTGTCATGGTGGGGACCTAAATTGAAGTCCCCATGGGTACAAACGCATATAAATCATACAGAATAAGTTTTTTTGAGAAAGTAAAAATGCAGAAGATTTCCTGTAAGGGGTAGGGTTGGTGTAGGGCAATAGAAATTACAGTTTGTACAGTATAAAAACCATTATGCCCCTTATTTTCTCCATGGCACACAAAAGGAGATGTTTTTAAGAATGCTGTTGCTGCACTTTTCGAGTGAAAGTGAATGGGAAGAGATGTTTTTGTGTTTTGTGCTCCAGGGGAGAAAGTCATATAGGTTTGGGATAACATGACAGTGAGTAAATGAGTAGACAGTTATAATACCAATTTGTGTCCACTCATTATACAGCTGAGCTGATTTGCTGTTGCTCAGTGATAGGCTGTAAGCATTTGGTCGTTTAGTAATGAACAAAACATCCACCTGCAGCAGAGGTACATCCACATGTGCATTCTGAACTGTAATGGAGATGTCATTTGGTCCGAATGCCTTGGTAATTAAAGCCATGTCTGGCATCTATTCTCTGATGGATGGTGTAATTGGTCCCTCTTAGCACTAACTATACTGTAATTCTCCTTAATGGAGTGTTTGATTTTCTTGATCACATCACTTTCTTATCTCCCAAACTTCCCTCAAGGATCTGCTCCCTTCACGCATGGGAACAAATCTGATTATTGATCTATTGACAACAAAGCCTGTACTTTCTGAGCTGTGAATCACACATTATAGCAGCAGAGGCCATCAGTGGAAAATTATCAATGCTGGCAAGGATTAAGGGGAAATCATTTGTTTTACATTGATTAGCACAGTTTGTGTCTGGCGGTTGTATAAAGTTTGTAATATATCCCCTGTATGCTGAAGATATTCTCAGCCACTGAAGCCAAGTTCATGTGTGTGTGTGTGTGTGTGTATACAGGTTTATATATCCTGGTGGGGACTTAAACCTGAATACACACAGACTCATGGGGACTCGTGTCATGGTGGGGACCTAAATTGAAGTCCCCATGGGTACAAACGCATATAAATCATACAGAATAAGTTTTTTTGAGAAAGTAAAAATGCAGAAGATTTCCTGTAAGGGGTAGGGTTGGTGTAGGGCAATAGAAATTACAGTTTGTACAGTATAAAAACCATTATGCCTATGGAGAGTCCCCACAAGGATAGCTGACCGGACGTGTGTGTGTGTATAATGTTCTTTTCCTATATAATTAATGAGAGCATTTTGGTAAATATTGCCTTCTGGATCTTTCCTGTTAGCCAGTTTTCCTTCTAATGTGCTTGCTGTAATTTAAGCATGCA